AAAAGATCTTGATCTAAAAGATCTTATATTAGTTTACAGCAAGTTGATCTGGTGCTTATTATAATGATGAGTTATCATCAGCAAACGACTCTCCTGTAAAAGCATGGAGTAGTTGAGGATGCTGGTTTACCATTCCATGCAATCCTAGGATCAGATTTGATCTCCTCAAAGAAAAGAAACAATCACTCATTATTGGTTGCTCAATCAGTTAGCAGTAAGAAAAGGAGCTAAGGCATTTGGTTGCTCAATCAGTTATTATTCAGAATCACATAAGCCATTTTCCAAACTACAAGTTCTTCACAAATGTTGACCTGGCAGGCAACTGTTATGCGCTTATTGTAGCATTTTCCCTTAACGCAGAGGCCAATTTCATTGTTAGTTGTACAATCATGGATGGAGTAGGACCAGTAGGTGTGCTCATAGACATTGGTCATGGAGCACATGCGGATCAATCTGAGTTTGTATCTGCTAATACCGAGAAGCCCTTTGCCCCAGAGCAACTTGGTTTAGATAATGTTGTTTTGGCCCCTCAGTAGGAAGTGACACGGAAGAAACATGCATGGCAATGGTTGATCTGTCTTGAAAGAATTTAGAAGCACATGCTTTGAGCTGTCTATTTACAGGGATATGTGCATCTGTCTGTGTGGTCAAGGTGTGCAATCTCAGCATTTCGTTTTGGATGCTTTCATTCTTATCTTCGTGTAAAGTGATTTCCTTGTTTACGCAAATATAGCATGATTTGTGACTAAATTTTCTCATGGATTTTGTTTATCCTTTTGCAGTTCAGTGGCAAAAGAGTGGGCATTATTGGGCTGGGCAGAATAGGGCTTGCTATTGCCACTCGAGTGGAGGCCTTTGATTGCCCAGTTAACTACTACCAGAGAACAAAGAAGGACTACCCCAATTACACCTATTACCCTTCTGTAGTTGAATTGGCAGCAAACAGCGACATCCTCGTGGTGGCTTGCCTATTGAGTGAACAGACCCGCCACATTGTCAACCGTGAGGTGATGGAGGCACTCGGACCCAAGGGCGTGCTCATAAACATCGGGCGCGGCCCTCATGTTGACGAGCCTGAGCTTGTCTCTGCGCTCGTTGAGGGGCGCCTTGGCGGGGCAGGCCTCGATGTGTTTGAAGATGAGCCCGATGTGCCTGAGTCGCTCTTCACGCTTGACAATGTTGTCCTGGTACCACACATGGGGAGCGGGACACACGAGACGCGCAAGGCGATGGCGGACCTGGTTCTCGGTAACCTGGAGGCGCATGTTCTGAAGAAACCGCTGCTGACTCCTGTTATCTGATACGATGATCTCTTATAGGAAGCACGAACAGGCATTATAATGTGTTTTATATGCATTTGTGTGCTAATATGTCATCAGGTTTGGTCGTACCATTTGGAGTTGTTGTCTCAAGGAATGTTCTATGTGGATGGCCTCAAAAATAATCTCTCTCTTTGTAAGCCCGTTTGTTTGGCTTTATCAATAATTAATAATATATGGTTGTGTGCATCAATCGACGGAGAGTCCGAGGTTCTTTCCCTTTTTCGATTTTATTTTGAAGAAGCACGATAAGATGTTTTCCCTTTCAATCTCTCTTTGACATATGTAGGTTCTTATCGGTAAGCAGTTTGTGAGACCTATTGATAAGTTTGACTTCTTTTGGGATCGTCTCATATCCGGTTTTCGTGATTTATGTTTTGTCGACGCAAATGTCATGCTATGCAATATGCCTGTTTTTCTTGGTTGAGTAAGTGTTGCTATTGAGTATGGATGGTTTGGTAGCTTGCAAGCTTTTTGCGTTTTTCGGTAGCTTGGTTGAGTTGGGCCTGGCTATGCATATTGTGCATATAGTTTGGTAGCCTGCATGCCCCTCAGCCTAACTCCTGGATGCAACGTTCTGCTATTTCATTACGTTCACACTGATGATTAATCTCACTTTTTATCCAAATGGTAAACTTACCTCACGTAGAAACGGGTGCTAAAGGAAGAAGAGAAAGGCCGGCTCGAGCTAGAAAAAGGTATGGCATCCTTCCGATGCTCATCCAACGGGATGACTCAAGGTAGAAGGAGTGGCAGCCCTTGGATGCTCATTCAATGGTCACGAAATCGGATGGGCGCGAATAAATTTTTTACGTGACTGATGCCCAAGTGTGATACGTTTGTACAATCAGTAGGAAAATGTATATCTACTCGTCTACGACCATCAAAATAGAAAACATAACACAAAAGCTGTGTGAAAACATAACAATAAAGAAATTTCAAACGGTCGACCGGGTGCGAAGATTTTCTCAAAATTCATCGTTTCATAACATGGGCACATGAACATGTTTGTGTGGTCCAATAAGAGATGAAGATCTACTCGCCTATGATCGTCAAAATAAAAAACGCCCAACACAAAAGTCATGGATACGGCGAAAAGAAGCTAGTGGTCGACTCGGTATGAAGATTTTGATGAAATTCGTCTAAAAAGCCTCCAAACATTAGCATGAAATTGAGACTCATAGTCCATACAATTAGAAACCGACTGTTTGAATGAAATATTTGCATCTTTTTCATGTAGACGTTATTTCGAGTCAAATCACCATTGTGTGATCATATGAAGTGGATCAAAGAGGGTGAGTGCAATATAACATGTGCAAACCTCACCTACATGCCCGCACCACCAGAGCCACCACTTATGCTCAAATTGCATAGCTCGCGCTTTGCTTTGAAAAAATGGCCGATTCGAGTGTTCTTGCGAAGCCAAGCCTGGAGATGATTTATGCACCTTGCTATGCAGGTTCAATAGTGTTTCCACACAACAAACAGCCCCAAGTCGCCAAAAGTCACATTCAGCAAGGCTGATTGAATTTGATTCAAGCTATCAAGCACGTCATATATGGGCATTGGCGATGGAACAACACACCTAGGGGGGCACGTGAATGAATGCCCCTTCTATCAGAAATTATGAAATCCATTTCACACTTAGGCCTTGTTCGGTTGAGGTGGATTCCGAAGGGGATTGGCAGGGATTGAGGGGGGTTAAACCCTCTACAAGTCAAAATCCTCTCCAATCCTCTTCAATCCCCTTGGAAGGAGGATTAAACGAACAAGGCCTTAGGGAGATAGTTGATCAATGTCCATTTTCACACTTAGGCAGGATAGTAGACCAATGCACTCGAGCCGCTCCCCTCACCCGTCTCACTCCATGGTTGTTGCCGGCCCAACCTCCTTGTCCTCCTTTTTCCTCTCTCCCATGCTCCTCCTCTAGCCTCCAGCTCCATAACTAACCAGCACCACCATCTCCAGCCTCCCGATCTAGCAGAACTGGTAGCCCAAGCTCATGCGTGGGATCATGGTGGGGTGGCACAGGCGAACGGTGGCTTCAGGAGATGGCCGGCATCAGTGATGCCCCTTGAGATTCGGTTTGAATAGCAGAAGGTTCCCGTACCTTTTCCCCAAGGAGAGACACTGGGTATCAAACCCAATAGAGGATGTGCACCATGACAAAGAGGCAAACAAGTGATTTCTATTGAATTAAATTCTAGTTTTTTAATCGGACCTTTCTCACAACTTTTTCGGATGTAAACACTGATGTGAAAATAGGCATGAGTATGTGGTCTTACTCTCACAACCATACACCCCCTCTATCTCAAAATGTAAAAGGATATTTTACACTATCATGGTGCCAAAAATCCTCTTACATTTTGGGACAAAGAGTGTACTTATCTGTGGGATCTCACCTTACTAATAAACATAGCCCTGAAACACAACTGCTATGATGTGCTTGCTACATGATGAAGTCGGGGATGTGTCCAAAGTACGTCTTGACTGGTCACAACCTGCATCAAGAGTTAGTTGTTCAACTGATACATTCATTTTGCATCATGTTTTCTACTATTATTTATATAGTTTTGGGTCAATATTTCACTTCATGAGGTAATTTTAATGTCTTTTCTCTCTTATTATGCAAGATTTATATGAAGAGGAAAATTGCCGGCAACTGTAATTCTGGACCTGAAAAGAGCTACAACAAAGATAGCTATTCTCCGAAGCTCCAAATGACCTGAAAATTTACGAAGATTCATTTGGAACTAATAAAAAAAATACTAGAAGAAGAATCAACAGGAGGGCCCCACTAGTGAGTCACAAGCTCAGGTGGCGCCCCCTGGGGCATGCCACCTAAGCTTGTGGGGCCACCAGCAGGCCTTTGTGACCGTCATTCTCCTATATGATGCCATTTTCACTAGAAAAATAAATAAAGAGAAGACTTTCGGGATGAAGCACCGCCGTCTTGAGGCGGAACCTGGATAGGAGTATTTTTGCTCTCTGGCGGAGCGATTTGCTGGGGATACTTCCCCTTAGGGAGGGGGAAATCGAAGCCATCGACATCACCAACAATCCTCTCATCATAGGAGGACTAATCATCATCAACATATTCACCAACAACATCTTCTCTCAAACCCTAGCTCATCTCTTGTATTCAATCTTTGTCTGAAAACCTCAGATTGGTACTTGTGGGTTGCTAGTAGTGTTGATTGCAGGTTGTAGTTGATGCTAGTTTGTTTATTTGGTGGAAGATTATATGTCCAGATCCTTAATCTACAATACTCCTCTGATCTTGAACATGAATATGATTTGTGAGTAGGCCCGTTTGTTCTTGAGGACATGAGAGAAGTCTTGTTATAAGTAATTATGTGAAGTTGGTACTCGTTCAATATTTTGATGATGTGTATGTTGTTCTTCCTCTAGTGGCGTCGTGTGAACGTCGACTACATGACTCTTCACCATGTTTGGGCCTATGGGAAGGCATTGGGGAGTAATAGGTAGATGATGGGTTGCGAGAGTGATAGAGCTTAAACCCTAGTTTATGAGTTATTCCATAAGGGGCTAATTTGGATCCATATGTTTCATGCTATGGTTAGATTTATCTTAATTCTTTTTTTGTAGTTACATATGCTTGTGAGAGGGGGTAATCATAAGTGGGTTGCTTGTTCAAGTATGAACATCAATGCTACTTGTGAGCTGCGTTGGGATTTCCCCAAAGAAGAGAGGATACTGTAGTACAATAGAGATAAGTATTTCCCTCAATTAAGAACCAAGGTTATCAATCCAGTAGGAGAACCACACGAAACCTCGTTAGCAGCACCTACACACACAAAGGCAAATACTTGCACCCAACGCAAACAAGGGGGTTGTCAATCCCCTCGACGGTTAATTGCAAGGATCAAATTTGGTAGTGATAGATAGATAGATTAAAACACAAAATAAAATAACACTAAATAAATTGAAGCAAGGTATTTTTGGATTTTATATATGATAAAAGTAGACCTCGGGGCCATAGTTTTTACTAGAGGCTTCTCTCTCGAACAAAAAGCATACAATGGGCAAACAAATTATTGTTGGGCAATTAATAGAAAAGTGCATAGTTATGACGATATGCAAGGTAATGATCATGTATATAGGCATCACGTCCGAGACAAGTAGACCAACTCCTGCCTGCATCTACTACTATTACTCCACCCATCGACCGCTATCCAGCATGAATCTAGAGTATTAAGTTAATAAATATGGAGTAATGCCTTAAGCAAGATGACATGATGTAGAGAAAGTAAATCCAACCAATATGAATAAACCTCGTCGCTTTCCCCTGAATGGTAACAATACAAATATGTGTCTTGTCCCCTTCCACAATATTGAACCCATTACAAAGCACATCTCCCATTACAAGATAAATCAATCTAGTTGGCCAAACCAAATGGATAGATTGGAGAGAAATACAAAGCTATAACAATCATGCATAAAAGAGTTCAGAGAAGACTCAAATAATATTTATGAATAATCTGATCATAAACTCACAATTCATCAGATCCCACAAACACACCATAAAATAAGATTACATCAGATAGAACTCCAAGGACATCGAGGAGAACATTGTATTGAAGATCAAAGAGAGAGAAGAAGCCATCTAGCTACTAGCTATGGACCTGTAGGTCTGTGGTAAACTACTCACACTTCATCGGAAGGGCAGCAAGGTTGATGTAGATGCCCTCCATGATTGATTCCCCCTAGGACAGAGTGACAGAAAAGGCCTTCGGATGGGATCGCGGAAGAACAGAGGCTTGCAACTGTGGAAAAAGTTTTTTGGGTGGCTCCCTGTAGGTTTCCCGATTTTAGAGAATCTATAGAGGTGGAATTAGGTCAGACGGAGCCACGAGGGGGCCATAATGCACTAGGGCGTGGCCACCCCCCCTGGGCGTGCCCTACTACCTTGTCGTATCCTTGTTTGCCTTCTTGCCCCCCTGAAGCTTCTAGGGTCTCTC